CAAGTCTTATACACATCCTTGAAGCTGAAGTACATCTCTTATTGGTACCAATAATTGGGTCATATTTTTTGTCCAGCCAACCAGGGTGCCTTTTGATTAGTGAGTTCAATCCACTTCCATGTAGAGTAATGATTAATATGTAGAGACTTACTGATACTATTTTAATTGGTTCCTGGTTTTGTATTTCAGTTTTTCCTTTTTCCCCTCTCTTTCTAGGTAGAAACCTTTGTAAGTTGGTTATTTACCATGGTGTTATGCTCTGTTTTCCCCTTCTTTGTTGATCAGCTGTGGGTTTTTAGTCTTGTATGTACCATGGGGCTAACATAAAATATCTTAGAGATGAAACCATTTCAGGCTGAGAACAACTTATTTCTGATTGCCTAGAAAGTCTCTATTTTATATTATTGATGTTACAATGTATGTATACCTTTTTTTTTTGAGTTGCATTAACAACTTGTAATTTTTCTCGCTTTTCCTTTAACTTTTATACCGTAGATGAATAGCTGACACACCATCCTAATTAACAGTTAGTTTTCTAAGTCTGAAAGGTATATTTTTTATGTTTACCTAGTGTGTTGTGTACTTTTCTGTTTTCATGTGGCTGGTCAGCCTGTCTTTGTTTAGCTTGAAGAATCCCTTATTGCATTGCTTGCAAGGCAAGTCTGGTGGTGGTGAATTTTTTTAGATTTAGTTGGTCTGGAAAAGCTTTTATTTCTTCACATCTGAAGGAAAACTTTGCCAGATAAGTATTGTTGGCTGACAATTTTATATCTTTCAACACTTCAAATATCCTTATATTCTCTACTGGCCTGTAGAGGTTCTACAGAGCAATCTGATAGACTAATGGGAACTCCTGTGTAGGTTACTTTTTTTTTTTTTTTACCTGAATGCCTTTATGATTCTTTAGTACCGATTTGTGAGAATTTATGTCTTATACAAGGTCATTTTGTTTAGAGATAAAAGGATAATCTATGAGTTCAGTAGGCAAGCCTTTTCTCAGGTTTAGGAAATCCTCCGCTGTTTGTTTTGTTTTGTTTTTATTCTGATATTTGTCTTTTTTATGGATAATCAGCACTCATTAGGCTTTCTTCATTTTTTTTTTTAACTCTAAGTTCCCTCTTCTGTGTTATGTCAAAATTCTTATCCTCCATGTCAGTTATTCTTTCTTCCTTGTGGTCTGCCTCATATATATGTTCTCTGTTACATTCTTGATCTCATTTACTGGATTTTCAGATCCAGAATTTGTTTGGTAAAGAACTCATTTTGTTTGGGTTTTTTTTTTTAAGATTTTATTTATTTATTCATTAGAGACACACACACAGAGAGAGAGAGAGAGAGAGAGAGACAGAGAGAGAGAGGCAGAGACACAGGCAGAGGGAGAAGCAGGCTCCATGCAGGGAGCCTGACGTGGGACTCGATCCCGGGTCTCCAGGATCAGGCCTTGGGCTGAAGGCGGCGCTAAACCGCTGAACCACCTGGGCTGCCCTTATTTGTGTTTTTGATTCCTAACTTAATTAAATTGTCTTTCTGAATTTTCTTATAAATTGTTGAGTTTCTTTATTACAACTATTTAAAATTCTTTATCAGTTAAACTATTCTGTGCCAGTGAGCTTGATTGCTGAAGATTATAATTTTCTTTTAGTGGTGCCATATTTCCTTGATTTTTCATAACCTTTGTAGAAATTCATTAGTATTTTCACATTTGAAGTAGTACATACCTCTTTAATTCTTATTGTCTTCAGCGGATGGGGTGTTACGTTCTATAGTACTGCTGTTGTCATCTTTTTCCTCTGTATTTATGAAGATGCACCTGTTCCAGTTTTGTACCTTCTTTGTGGCAGTTTTTTAAAGCTTATATGTCTTACCTGGTTCTTATCATGTACCAGGCCAAAAATCTTTTTGTTTGTTTGTTTGTTTTCTAGAAGTAATGCTATAGCTCAAGTTTGTGGTTTCTGAGCCCGCTCTCTTATCTCCTGGAGACTGCTCTCACAGTGGCACATGGGATCCTGCATAAGGAATAACAGAGCATGAGGAGAGAAATGTGGCATTAGAATCCGGTGCATTCACACCCAGTAGGATGATCCCAGCAGTAGTATTCCCTGCTAAGCACAATCCCTTTTACACCATTTGAAATTCTTATCTGCTGCTTTCCCAATATCCTCCCAACCCCCAGTTATAGATCTCCTACCTACTCCAGTGCGGAGGAAGAGAATGGATTTCTCCAGTTGCCATAACTAGGCACTCACTGCTTTTCTCTTTTCCCTGCAGGAGAGGTCACCACCACTAGATAAATTAGCACTCTTCATTGTTTCCTGGCATCCACCCCACTGCCCAGTGAAAGTTTCTCTTACTATCTCTCAGGCAGACAAACTCCTCTATTTTCTCCCCTTTACAGTGGTGTGCCAGAGTCTGCCTTAGAAAAGGCTAAACTCAGGATCCGTGGGTGGCGCAGCGGTTTAGTGCCTGCCTTTAGCCCAGGGCGCGATCCTGGAGACCCGGGATCGAATCCCACGTTGGGCTTCCGGTGCATGGGGCCTGCTGCTCCCTCTGCCTATGTCTCTGCCTCTCTCTCTCTCTCTCTCTCTCTCTCTCTCTCTCTCTCTCTCTGTGTGTGTGACTATCATAAATAAATAAAAATTAAAAAAAAAAGAACAAATAAAAGGCTAAACTCTGGCAAGTTCTCTTTCTGATGCTATTCCCTCTACACTTACCTGATTTTTGTCCTGGTAGGGGCAAGAGGGGTCTAGGAAGTTTGGCTAGCTCCTGTGGTTCCCAGCCCATACAGAGGATTCCTTAGAGTATAAGATAATAGGGCTAAAAACACCCATGAGAGTCCTTTTGTTCATGTATGAATGTCTAATCCTTTGATTTTGGAGGGAGGATAAATAGGAATATTTTATGGCAAGCATGTTGCTTGACCCCACTCTCCAAAATCATCAGATGTTCACTTTAGAAAGTTCACTTTGGCTGCAGGGTGAGGAAGAGCTAAAAAGGTCAAAAGTGTAGAAACATGAAATGAGGGCATATTTATGACTGTTATTTCCTAATCTAAAGCTAACTCAAACATTTGATTTTATATAGAGAATATTTTGTCATTTATAAGGTTACTTTAGTATTGGTCTAATTGATTTTTCCCAGTGAAAGAGGACTAGTAACTAGATCACATCATAATTTTATTATAAGTTTGAACTATATGAGGGAAAATGAAAATATTGTATTTCAATAACAGCTTTTTTTGATCTATAATTTGCAAAAGAAGGAAAGGATGCCATGGTACTATTTGCTTAAATATAGTACCCTTTATATATAAAATGGAAGCTTAGAAAATACAACATTCCATCTAAAGGGAGAATTACCCGAGGTAACATTAGATAAGAACACGAAAATACCTATACCCTTGCCAATCTGCTTCACTTGAAGTTAAAAAGCAAATACCAGAGCTACTGAAAACCATGACTGTCCTAGCAATGCTTCTGATACACAGAATTGTTTTTAACCTTCGTTACCGATAAAACTTCCCTTTTAATAAAAATGGGATTTCAATAATACTAAGAATATTTTCACTAAATGCTGTCTGACTTTAAAATTCTGTGACAAGTAGTAAAATTCATTTTATTATTCATAGTATTCATATTACTTATTTATTCAATTTACATTAATTGGGTAATTGAAAACAAAAGCATTTTAAAGATTTATTTATCTTAAACAGCATGAGAGGGAGGGGCACAGGAAAGTGAAACAGAATCCCAAGCAGACTCGGTGCACAGCCGCAGCCGAGGTGGGCCTGAGATCACAACGTAAGCAGAAACCGAGAGTGGGATGCTTAGCCAATTGTGCCACCATGGTGTCCCGAAAACAAAAGCATTTTATGTTGCAGTAGCATAGAAGTTTTTAATTCCATAGATGTTTCATAGAGACTAAACCCTAAATCAGAGTAACATCAAGAAGTTTTTTAGATTGTCATAAAGATGTTCAATGGCTACTGGTCAAAATTTGATATACAGATCTAAGTGACAATCTACACTACTGTAGAAGTTTCATACAAAATAGTTTTACTAGCCATAACCAATTTTTTCTTGATTTATATATAGCTAATGTTTTTTTAGTTTAAAGAATGAATCTTCTGTGCACAGTATTTAAAAAAATACTTTTGATTACTGCTTTCTACAATTATGTAAGACATCTATAAACCATAATAATAAGCATTCATAGTACTAGTGGGTGTTATTTTTCTGGTAATTTTATGACAAATTCTTTGAGTAATAATACACATTAAATGTAGATTATTTAAATGTTGATTACATTAATTGTAAATGTTTTAATGATAGAGGACTTTGTCATTTTAAGATATTTGCTAATGGGGTGCCTGCTTGGCTCATTGACTCTTGATTTTGGCTCAGATCATGATCTCAGGATGGTAGGAACTAGCTCCTAGGCAGCCTCTGAGCTCAGTGGGGAGTCTGCTTGAGATTCTCTCCCTCCTCCCACTGGTATACACTTCCTCTCAAATCTTAAAAAAAAAAAAAAAAAGTTGCTATTGATTCCATTTAGATGTAAACTTGATTGGTCACACCTGGGAATATAATCCAGATTTTTCTGTACCATACTCTTTTTAAAGAAACTTCTCTGGATGTAGAGTATATCCCTATTTATTCTTTATAAGAAATAAACATATAGGAAGAAGTATTGCATAGTAGTCAAACATTTGAGTTCTGAATTCAGATTGCCCATTTTGCCTCCAACCGTCTATCTCATTTAGTACCTCCCTTCACATAGTTCCCTAAAGTAGTTAAAAAGTAGACTCTTGAGCATATTATTTCACAGTAACAAAATTGACTAAGGGCTTTTTCTGCTAGAATTCTGTTAATAACATTTATGTTCAATAAGTATTTATGTTAAAGTTGTTAAATCACTTTATTAAAAATATATACTTTCACTTTTATTTTTACATTATAGATAATTTTTTCTCTAATCGATTTTTTTGTTTTGTTTTGTTTTAGGTCACTTTTCACATTGAACCATATAGCAATCGAGATGATCAAAACATGTACAAAAATGTCAAATATATTATAGACAAGTGAGTTTCTTTGTTTATATTACTGTTTTATGATCCAATGATAATATACAGTTATAAGAGTACATTTAAATTATATTTGAGTTTGAAGACTTATGGTCTGATATACTAAATTTTATAATAAATAATCATTTTGAGGAACATTTCTAAAATTCCTTATGATTCACTTTTTGTATAGATTCTATTTACTGATTTTGTGTTTATTAAGCTTTATTTATGATTTGTTGGCTGATACTTTAAATTGGTATTCCATAAATCACTAATACAGAGTTTTGCCTTTTCAAAAGAAGGTTCAAATTATAAAATGTGAACTGCTTTTATATCTGTGGGCCCACATCCATTATTTTCATTTATAATTAGTCTGATTACAAGAAAAAAAATTCTACAGCTTCACTGTGTTCAAGGATTTTTACTGATAGGAACCTGTGACAGATACTGTACTCTTAAAAGGAAACCTACCAGCAACAGTGAGACATTTATCACTGGTAGAAAAAAAGCAGTTGACATATTCCTATAGAAAATGGGCTTTTTAGAGTATTGGTCATCATTTGTAAACCTCAATATAAGATCATTAATTTCTTGTTAGGTGATGTCTTGATGTATCCAGTGTCTCATTTTTCCAATCTGCAAAATTGAAAATGTATTCTTAATGATTACCCTTAATATAACTGATCCCCCAAAGAAAGTGAATAGCGTGTTTCAACTATTTTCAATATAGAAACAGTTATTGTCTGTGGAAAATGAGTTGCAGATATTCACTTCACTTTTACATATTTTTGTATTCTAGATATGGAAATCATCCAGCCTTTTATAGGTACAAGACTAGGACCGGCAATGCTCTTCCTATGTTTTATATCTATGATTCTTATATCACAAAGCCTGAAAAATGGGCCAATTTGTTAACCCCCACAGGGTCTCAGAGCATCCGCAATTCTCCTTATGATGGACTGTTTATTGCACTTCTAGTAGAGAGCAAACACAGATACGATATTCTTGAAGGTGGTTTTGATGGAATTTACACATATTTTGCCACAAATGGCTTTACTTATGGCTCATCATATGAGAATTGGGCAAGGCTAAGATTTTTTTGTGATCAGTTCAACCTCCTGTTTATCCCAAGTGTGGGCCCAGGATATATAGATACCAGCATCCGTCCATGGAACGCTCAGAACACTCGGAACCGAATCAACGGGAAGTACTATGAAACTGCTCTGGATGCTGCACTCCATGCCCATCCCAGTATAATTTCTATCACCTCTTTTAATGAGTGGCATGAAGGAACTCAGATTGAAAAAGCTATTCCCAAAAGAACCAGTAATACAGTATACCTCGATTACCGGCCTCATAAACCAAGTCTTTATCTAGAACTAACTCGCAAGTGGTCTGAGAAATATAGTAAGGAAAGAGCAGGTTATACAGTTGATCAGAAGCTGCCTCTTTCCTAATGCATAAATAATTATAGAAATAACCTAATTTCAATAAACACCTTTCGTGTTGTTTGGCAGTTACCCCATCAGTATATATGTAATAAAAAGAATTTGTAATTTTTTAAAAAATGCTAATATCATCATTGTCACCCTTCACAATTCTGCACTGAAAAAAATCTGAGAGAAAAGTTGTGCAAATAATGTTATTTGACATTATTACATAGAGAATGCACAGTTAAATCCTGCTTGTATTCTGGGCCCAACGAGAGAGAATGTGTATATTTGATATGTCTAGTGAAGAAAATAAGATCTACAAGATAGTGTATATTTCATTAGTTTTTTTTTTCAAAGATTCAGTCATCCAGAGTCTGTTCACTAATACAGTCCAGTCTCCAATAAGAATTCTTAAGGAAAATAAAATCTTAACTTAAGCCTTACTGTGAATCGTATTGTGTTAGGAAGGCCTGCTTTCTGCAGCACAATATGCATCATTCTTTGAAGAATTTTTGATAACATAGCATGCTAGGTATTTTGCATGTCTACTGTGTCTGCTTTAAAAGCTATGAAAAATTCTGTCATAGAAGTTAATGATTGCTTCTCTGTTAAGAAAACCTAGTTGGTTTATAGTTATTATGAAGATAGAATGACCAAAATACAAGTTTTTGGATACCTGTCAATCTTTGCCTTGTCATTCATGTTTTTAATTTAATGTTAATCAGAGACCAACTGTTAGTATCAATCTTTTTATTTCTTACCAACCATTAGCTTTCCTTCTTAATATTTTAAGCTATTTTAACAAAATAGAGAAAATTACTTTGCATTTTAACGACATAGAAATGAAAATTCTTTTATATCTTAAATTCATTCCTGAAGTTTGACTTTTAAGTTTAACACTTAGTGATGGGAATAATCTCATTTAAAAGACAAAATATCCCCATGTAAAAACATTATACTTTGACAGTACCTATCATATTCAATACTTGTGATCAGTTGTTTATCATATTATGACAAATTAATCCACCAATATGCTAAAAAATGAATCTCCTTAATAGATTGTTATTCTTCAATTCTTAGAGTTAAGTAGAACTATAAAATATATATATATACTATGACATGATTATTCCTTAGATATTTAATTTACTAAAGAGAAGCAGTAGGGCAGTACTAAACAATAATACATATAAATCTTCAGGTTTTAGAGATACTCATTCAGAAATAAGGTAACAGTAGAATTTATCATAAAATAGCCCATCAGGTGGTGAAATTTATTTTTAGTTAGTAATTTTGAAATAAAATATCTTTTATTTGAAAAGAGGCATGATTAATATAAAACTTCTTTAAACCTTAAGAATTTGCCATTTCTCAGAGAATGATCAGGCCATGGGAAATGCAAACAATAGTAGTAATCTACTTTCTAGAAGAAATTATCAGAATAAATCACTATAACGATATAATGAAGCCTCTTCCTAACCTGTGGATTTTTTTTTCTTATATCCAGTTAGCCACTATATGTTATCGTAGGATAAACTGTAAATATATCTAACAATCACTTTTACCATATTTTATTAAATTTAGAGAAATAACTACCACAGAGGAATTTTTGTCATTGCTTATACTGCATATCTGAACCTACTGTAACAGAAAATTTTTTGAAATAGTTCTGAAATTATAAAACCAAGGTCTATAAAACCTCAGCACAAATACCACCACTTTCTATCTTGCTCCCCTTGCAAGCCTAGATAATCTAGTACAGCAGTACTCTTTACCTCTGAACTTTGTTGTGCTTCCCAATACATTACTCGAACTAGCCTGTAATGATCAGATTTCAAAGTAAAACAAAACAGATTTGTTCTCAAGGGAAAATGTTTGGAATCTGATCTCATAGTGGTTTAAGAATTTATAATTATATGACTATCCTGTGTCTTTTTGCCTGTTTAATAATTTCATTATTCTTAGGGAGGAATGCTCTCAAAAATCTTCCTCAGGTATTCATTACAGCTGCCTTTATCATTGGACTTATAACACAGTTTGGATCATTATGATCACAAGTAAAAGCAAAGAACTGGTTACCTAATTTAAACTATCTAGATGTGAATTCAATAAACTAAAATAACTGTCAAACAGTGTAATATATGCAATGCATGAATCATAATTCTTCTATGGTTTAATCAATCTGTTTTGACTCTATAGAAAACAGTCTTTTTTTCATTGTTCCCCTTGAGGATTAATATTGTCAAAAACTGCTGTTATTAATGTTTAAGTTATTCATTAACTTTTTTCTGTTTTAAAAGTAATTAAAAGGCTATTTTGTTATATGTAGTAACTAACTTTTCATTTAATAAAAGCATACATGAAATCGTGTATCTTAGATATAAAAATGTGTTCCTTTCTAATTATGAAATATGTTTAATTTCTGATTAACAGATGAAAAGTAATATTCATTCAGCACTCTGTATATTTTCTCTATTTAAATATGTAACACTTACAAAGTCTGTGTCTTTAACTATATATACATTTTAAATCTGTGAATTTGTTAAACACACCCACAAAAAATGTGGGGTTTTTTGGGGGGGGTGGGTTGGAGATGTTTTATTTTTTTTATTCTTTGGGCATAATCATATGTTAGCTCTAACAGACCACTAGAGAACCTACCAAGTTTCTAACCCTGCACTTTTTCAAACTGATCAGTTACTCAGTTTAAACATGAAGACTGTTCCTGAACTCTACAGTGCCTACAGAAATAGCTCTTGAAAGTCTGTGTCTAAATTTTGAATTAAAGTCGAACACTTTCATGTCCCATAGCATAGAAGCAATACTTTATGACCAGCAAAATTTCAGTTATTTTTATAAATATCTACAATTTCAAAATGATAAATGGGCCTAGCCACAAGCAAAACAATTTTTTTGGCTCAGAACTTCTTTTTAAAAAATGTACTTCAAATTAAATTTTGTACTGACTTTATGTGGATACATAACAAAGTCTGAATGTTATTGTATTCTTCCTGTAAGATCATCATTCTTGAGAATTCAACTACTACATTGGCTTAATTACTTTATAGAGACTCATTCCAGTCTGATCAAAGAACTTAGAGTAGTGCTGTTAGATTTCATCAATGAAGAGAGGAACATTTTTTCAATGTGGTTTTTGTTGTTACATAATTTATAGTATCAAAAGAAAAATAACTATATGGTAACAGATCTGAAATTTAGTGTAGTTAAAACACTTTTTACTTTGGATGTTCTAGATTTCATTTAAAAGTATCTTTCTTTTGTTTCTCAATTTATATTAAAAAATTAGCCATAAATTTAATCATAAATTATCATAAATCATAAAGAGACTTTCAGAAAATACCCACTTGAAATAAATATTTCATGAAATAAGACAATGAGTTTCTATGGTTTGATAATTCTATATACATAACTCAACTTATGACTATATCATCATGGTTTGTTTTTGACTTTTTGAAAGAATTGGTCAGTCTGACCAAAGATTGTTGTAAACAACATGAAATAAAGGGAGAACTACTTAACTATTCAGGCACATTTAAGATGTATTAATTATGTTCATGCATGAAAGTGAGTGCATTTTACAAAAGGCCATTATGAAAACAGTACTATATTAATTTGATAATGTCTAATGTGATCTTTACCCTGATTTTAAAACTATCAAATACAAAAGAGAAAAATATTTAGAAGAAATTCAATTGAAATAAATGCAATAAAGTTTAGAAATTTATATAGTCACCTAAGAAGAGCGTGCCAGAACATTTGTTATAGTCAAAGTTTGTGTTTATTGAATGCTGCCATTCTATGTATTGTTTTTTAATTACTTAGATTCATTAGCCATGTGGCAGGCTATTAAGCCATTAATATTAAAATAGAGCAATCTAATCTCTGGCTTCTTGTAAAAAGTTAACTGCAAGGCTGCTAAATTCTTATTTGAAAAGTTGGTGTTATATTTAATTAAAGTACATTCTTGAAAACTACACTCTTTTAGCTGTCTTGTAAAAAAAAATGTTGAGTGACGATCATTTTATGAATAGTAGCTGAGCTCAAATTCTATTTTTCCTCATGAATATTATGTATTCTTAGCTAAAGACAATATAATTCCCAAATAAAATATTATTTTAATGTTTAATATTTTATTTCATTGTTTTCTTTTTACTTGAGTCACTCCTGTATCAAGTGTAGGTAATGTTTTCTCTTTTTAAAATTTGTACTCGGGCAGCCCGGGTGGCTCAGCGGTTTAGCGCCACCTTCAGCCCAGGGCATGATCCTGGAGACCCGGGATCGAGTTCCACGTCAGGCTCCCCTCAGGGAGCCTGCTTCTCCCTCTGCCTGTGTCTCTACCTCTCTCTGTATGTCTCTCAATGAATAAATAAATAAAATATTTAAAAATAAAATGTGTACTCTATTTGAAGACAGGATTTAAAGTATTGTTTCCATAAAGAGAATTTAAAAATACATGAACAATGAAAAATGGGATTTTGAAAAAATATATATACAATGCTAGCATATATGATTGACTACATATTTGGTATCGAGCTTCTGAGTAGTTAATACAAGATATTATATGGTTTTTTTTTTTTTTTTGCCAGAAAAGAAGCACCTCCTTTCCTCTACAGGGTAAACTTTACCTTGTCACAATTTAAAATAAAAAAGCATAGGGAATATAGTCAACAGTCCTGTAATAGTGTGAGACAAGTGGTAGTTAGATTTATGGCAATAAATGTATAGAAATGTTGAAACACTGCTGTACAGCTAAACTAATGTAACATATATTAACTATACAAAACAACAACAAAAACTTCAAAAACAATTTCGCACATTGACATTATTATACCTCAAAATAAAAATGTAAAAACCTACAGGAACCTGTCAGGCAATGTAATGTAAATAAATGCATCAGGTTGGAAGACCCTAGAGAGTCCAAGGAACTTTGGACCACTCTCACCTAAAAGGAGTAATTGCTAGTTACCTCTGTCAATGTTCATTTTGTAGTTATGGGTCACTAAAATGAAGTATGTATGCCCACGTGTCTATAAATTTTTCTAATTATAACATTTTGGCAAATATCAGAAAAGATTTTAAAAATACTTTCTGGTTGGGGTCACTAATTTGTGACCTCTGATATAAAGAATATAAAATTATTGGGAACATTATTTATAAAATTACAAAAATTTTTCATGGGACTAGTTATGGTGATAATTATTGAGTAAATTCTAAGTATGTAACAAAACTCAGTGAAAGTGAATCCACGAGGGTTCTGATTATATGATGTCTTCCCAGATTTTATGGAAGATCAGAAATAAAGTACCCCAACAATGAGGTTCATATCTCTTAGCCAGTCTTCTCCCTTTAACCTAATTTGGCTTCTGAATAGCTGATTTGAATTAATTTTATTTATTGAGAAGGACTTGAAGTCCTTTGATTCTTTTACTTACTAGATATGAATCCATGTTTAAAGCCTGGAAAGTAAGTAGAAAACCCTGTAATCGTATTTAATTATAGCCCCCACTTCTGCAACCTATTTTCTGCCTTTTTGAGGCCTGCTATTCAACCTTTCTTTCTTGTTCTCTACTTACCTGCCTTTCTTATCTGCTTTGTTTCAAAGAAGATATTAGTGATCTGTTAGAATATATAGCGTGACAAAAAGTCTCAGTTGAACAAGAATAGGAATACATGTTGAACCCAGCATTAAAAGGAAAACAATCTTATGGGAAATACACTGCTATACTGGTGATTAGAAATTTAAGCTTTTGAGTAGCCAATATGAAACAAACATCATCTACATGTTGTGCAATGTTCATAGAGTAAGATAAAACGTCTTTATATCTTAAGGGTGTCTACTCTTACCACATTTTTTCAAATTGGTAAGGAAGAACGAAAACTATTTGCAGATGACCTGGTACAAAACACAGAAAACCCTATAGATTCCACTAAAAAACTATTAGAAATAAGTGAATTCAGTAAAGGTGCAGGATACAAACTTAATATATAGAAATTTGTTGTCCTTCTCTATGCTAATGACAAGAAAGAGAAATTAAGAAAACCATCCCATTTAAAACTATCGAAAATTACCTAGGAATAAGCTTAACCAATGAGGTGGAAGATCTGAATTCTGAAAACTCTTAAACATTGGTGAAAGAAATTGTGAAGATAACACAAATGGAAAGATACACCAGGCTCATCAATTAGAATAATATTACTAAAACGTCCATACTACCCAAAGCAGTCTACAGATTCAATGCAATCTCTATCAAATGCCAACAGCATTTTTCATAGAATGAGAATAATATTAAGATATATATGGACCACAAAAGGTCCCAAATAGCCAAATCAATCTTGAAAAACAAAACTTTCCCAGATTTCAAAATATACTACAAAGCTGTATAATCAAAACCGTATGACACTGGCACAAAAACAGACATATATCAATGGAACAGAATAGAACTCAGATATAAGCCCACGCTCATATGTCAACTAATCTATGAATTCAGTGGGAAAACGTCTCCAATAAATGGCGTTGGGAAAACTGGATGACTTTCTTACAGAATACCCCAAAATAAAATGGATTAAAGACCCAATTGTGAGACCTATACCCATAAGACTCCTAGAAGAAAATATGTAGTAATCTCTGACCTCAACTCTAGCAACATATTTGTGGATATGTCTCCTTAGGCAAGGGAAACAACAAAATTAAACTATTGGACTACGTCAAAATCAAAAGCTTTTGCACAGCAGAGAAAACCATCACCAAAATGAAATGGCAGCCTACTGAATGGGGGAAGGTATTTGCAAATAACATATACAATAAGGGGTAAATATCCAAAATATATAAGAACGTACACAACTCAACATCAATAAAACAGTTATGATTTAAAAATAGACCAAGGACATGAATAAACTTTTTCCCGAAGAAGATACACAGATGACCAGCAGAGACATGAAAAGATGCTCAACATCAACTAATCATCAAGAAATGTTAAAACCACAATGAGATATCATCTTATACCTATCAGAATGGCTAGAATTAAAAAAAAAAAGTGTTGGCAAGGATGCAGAGTAAAAGGGAACCCTCACTGACCATTAGTGAGAATGTAAATTGATACAGCCACTATGGGAGTTTTGTACAAAATTAAAAGTTGAAATACCATAAGATCCGTAATTCTAATACTGAATATTTACCCACAAAAATGAAAACACTAGTTTGAAAAGATACACGCATCCCTGTTTATTCAGTATTATTTACAGTAGCCAAGATAAAGGAAGCAACCAAAGTGTCCATCTATAGATAAATGGGTAAAGAAGATGTGGTAAACACAGTCAAAGGAATATTACTCATCTATAAAAAGAATGAGATATTGCCATTTGCAAAGACATGGATGGACATAGAGGGCACTATGCTAAGTGAAGTAAGTCAGGGAAAGACAAATGCTGTATGATTTCACTTCTATGTGGAATTTAAAAAACAAAAGTGAACAAGTAAAGCAGAAACAGACACATGAATAAAAGTGGTGGTTTCGAGAAGGGGAAGGGGTGGAAGAATGAGCAAAATGGGTGAAGGGGAGTGGTTTGGAGACACAGGCTTCTAGTTCTGGAATAAAAAAGCCACAGGGATGAAGAGTACAGCACAGAGAATATAGTCAATGGTATTATAATAGTGTTGTATGGTGAAAGATGGTAGCCATACTTGTGGTAAACATAGCATAATGTGCAGATTTGTCAAAGCACTATGTTGTACAGCTGAAACTGATGTAACATGTCAATTTTATATATATATATATATAATTATATATATATCAATTATATATATAATATAATCAAATATATATCAATTATATATAATATAATTGACATATGTATATATGTCTTAATATTAAGAGAGGAATTTCTTTTTGAGAGTTCTCAGAAAGGAAACTGTAATATAATGAATGATACCTTTATCAAAATCCTCATTATCATATGTCAAGACCAAATTTCATAAGGCTTTTTCTTAAATATCTTTATGTGATTGCAGTATCATGCTAAAACACAATCACTAAAAGCATTTATACATCTATCCACCCACCCACGCACCCATCCATTTGTCTCAAAGAGTTCATGTATCTTTCAAGCAATTCTTCCTATTTTAAAAAATATTAATTAATATTTCCTGAATTTTTGCCAGAGTGTATAATGGTGAAGGGGATTACACATGAATAAGATGCTAGCCTCCTGCTTTCAGAATACTTAAAGTGTTTAACAAAGCATTATGTTTCAGGTGATGCAGTTAACATTTTTTGATCCCTCGTACCCAATAAGCTATATTCATAACAGAAGTTTTCTTATAAATAATCAAAAGAAAGGCTGAGTCAAATATATATTAGTTCCAGAAGGGAAAAGAAATTATATTGCTTACAATTTTATACAGGAAAAGATTTATATTTGCTGAATTGGTAGTACATCACCATTCATCTACAAAAAAAGGAGACTAAAATGTTTACTGATAACTCATCTGCCTGGTTTCCATTATCTTTAAAATGAAGGCATTGGGTTGGATAACAGCTAAGATTGCTATTTAGAACTAATATTTTATGTTATCAGTAGCATCAAAATCAAAATGAAAAAGGGTCACCTGGGGCTCAGGGCATGATCCCGGGGTCCTGAGATTGAGTCTCACATCAGGCTCTTTGCAGGGAGCCTGCTTCTCCCTCTACCTATGTCTCTGCATCTCTCTGTGTCTGTCATGAATAAATAATTTAAATCTTTAAAAAAAATCAAAACAAAAATGTAAAAGCCTGCATTTCTACAGACATATAAACTATGTGAAAAAAGATTTGACATAATCATATAAAACTTAAAATTAACATCTGTCATCCATCCTGGATTTTATTACTCCAATGTTTGCCTTTCAAATAACATCATTGTGGGTATTAAATATGTTAATACAAATAAAGTGCCTAAAATAGTCCTGAAACATGCTAATGATCAGTAAATGTCAGCCATCCCTGTCATTTTTATACTCAAAATAAGGACAACCCAAATGTCTGTCAGTAAGCAAAAGGACAAATGAACTGTTATACATTCATATAATAAAATATTGTTTAGTAGTAAAAAAAAATGATACATACAACCACATAGATAAATCTCAATGCATCATGCTAAGTGAAAGAAGCTTCCAAGGATTACAGGTTTTCCCCACTTATCTGAAAGAATGTTCCTATGAAACCTTTGTGAGCTAAACTCATGTGAAGAAAGAAGCAATTACCATTTCACAAAAGTGAAAATCCTCTTCTAATTTCTTCTGGTTAGCAAAAATTGATACTAATGTAGGTCTTTCCTGAAAGAAAAGTGGCATAAAGCAAACCCTCAGGTAGCAGGGGAAGCCTGTATATACTTTATGATTCTC